ACCGAGCAAGGCCTGGGCATCCAGGTTCTTCTGATCTCCAGGCACAGGGAGGGCGCCTCTCAGACCTCTTAGGACCAAAATCAGGGCAGTGGGTGGGCCGGTCAGAGAGACCTTCCTGCTTCTGCGGTGGATATGTGGGGGCAGCGGTCCCAGACTCCCTTCCCGCCTCTGTGCCTGTCTAGTACGACTCTCTGAGCCCCGCGTCCCAGCCAGGACCCAGGTCAGGGCCTGATGCCCTTGAGCTTGCTTGGAAGACAGAAGTCCCAGAAACCCAAAGCAGAAGCCACCGCTGTGGGCTTTGGCCAAACACTTTGAACTCAAGACATTTAAAAATATTTTTTTAGGTAGAAAGTTGGCTGGATTGGAGAGACAGTGGATAGTTTAAATTGAAATAAGAGATACAGAAATCTACAGGTAGCTCTTAGAAAAACTGAACATGTAAAAGTTACATTGTTATAATAATCATATCTAAAGACGTGACGGTACAGACTAAACCGCAAGCTGCTTCAGAGCTCCACCTCCAAGCCCAATCGAATGTTCTCCTCATTAGAGACTGTAGAACTGTAGTTTCTGTACATTGAAAGCACAGAGGTAGGCAGAGAAAAAGCAATGTTCTTGAGAAATGAGAGAGCGAATGAATTAGTAAATCTTAGTTAACCCGTCTATGAGTGCACGCTGCAGATAAAACTCTGGTGCATTTACCATGGCCAGACACAGCTTCATCACGCCTGCCAGGTGACACACTGACACACGGAAAGGCTTCCAGCACTACTTCTGCACCTAAAGTCAGCCCAGAGCAACCAGCTGGGGGCGGGTGTGTGTGTGTATGTGCATGTGTGCGTGCGTGTGTGAGTGTGTGCGTGCGTGCGTGTGTGTGTGCCTTAGCCCGTGTCTTCCTACTCATGACCCTCAAGAGTCATGATGTCCAAGCAGAAATGCCCAAGAGCCCCAAACTTACTTGGAGCAACATTGTGTGTGTGCTGACGTCAGTGTTGTGAGCTTGGCCACGCAGGGGGGATGGGGAAACAGCGCTTAGGGCTCTGATTTAAGGTAGCCAGTCGTGACAGACATCTGGTCTACTCCACTCCCTCGGTAGGCATTTCACAGACACAAATAAATAGGATCCGTGACCCCAGGCAGCTTGTTACCTTATGTAAGAGACACGACAAAGAAGAAATTAGGATGTTACTGGGAGGCGGTAAGTCGAGCACACGATCAACGTCTAAGCTAGGTGGGTCTGTCGCTGTGGGTTTACTGCTGGAGCACAGAGGACAGGAGGGCAGTCAGGCTGCAGCCCTCTGTCTGGGGCTCCGCTCCTCACACAGCAGGTTTGTTCCCACCTTCTCCTCTCCCCCTGTGCTCTGATTCCGTCACCACCATCCTCGCTTTTAGCTGAAGATCTCACTGTTTCATCAAAAAGATAAAAACAGTTAAAAGAGGTCTTCAGTGAGTTCCACACACACGTCTACCTATCTACCTGCCTGCCTACTATCCAGTACCTACTGCCCACCACTCCTGTCCACCCACTGCTGCCCAGCCACTACTGCCCACCCCCCCGGCTTGGCCCTCTGTCAGCAGGGTAGACGTCCGCGTTCCTGGCTGGGGCCAGCCCTGCCCTGCGCCTCTCCTGACTACGCGGGGACCCCTCCAAGCGCCTCTGCTCCGGGTTCCTCCCTCCTGAACCGTCACACGCACCTCCTTGTCATCGTAAACCGGATGGCGGCTTTACCTGGACGCCGCCTTCTCACACGACTGCCGCCCGCCCGGTCTCTTTCCTTCCCTTTACTGCCATTTATTTGCTGTGTTTTCTCTTACTGGAGACCAGCACTGTTATGGGAGCGGTGGAGTTAATGTCTTGGCTCAGCAGGATAGAATAAAGCCAGTGAGGAGAACAAGAGACTGAGGGTCACATCAGCACCCCATTTCAGGGTGGCTCCCCAACACCTGTCTAGCAAGGTAAGGAACAACTCCAGGCCTCGGCTTCCTTCACTGTAGCTCTGATTTCTTTGAGTCAGAGCACAGTGAAAACACGGGCATTGGCTGACCACACATTGCTGTTTTTATAACCTTCCTAGATTTAGCCCATTAGCAGGGAATAATTTATTGTGCTGAATTGCAACAAAGCTGTCTTGAAGTAGGTGGGGAGCTATTTGAGACAAACCTTGGAATATCAGAAACTGCTCTAGCTGAAGCTCAGTCAGCAGGCAGCCAGGACAGTTTCTAAGCAGTCAGCTGCAGGTCTCTGAGGAGGAAGACAGGCGCTGGGTAAGCACACACCTTCCCCACACTTGAAGTCAGTCCAAGCCATCGTCACCCGATCTCACTACTGAGGGCCTGGAAACTAAGACAAAACCTCGGCCTTCCTTCTCGTTACAATCAAACCTGGTTACCTAAAATTGCAGAAGAACTAGAAAAATGGAAAACCAACATTTAATATAATTATTACAACCAATTGTTTGCCAGGGGATAGACAGGAAGGAGAAGAGAATGCACACACCTACTACCAGCACCAAAGGCACTGTCCTGTGTTTCAAGACAAGGACCACAAGGACAGTGCTGCAGACCCACAGAGTTTAGGACTGGAAGGGACCTCAGCGGTGACTCAGGTCCCACTGCCTGCTCACTTGCTGTCTGATGGAAAAGGAGGAGGGGAGGGCTGAGGAGAGGCATGCACAGGATAATGGGGTACAGTGATCCCCATTGGGCACGAGACTAAGAAGGAAGAAATGGGTGTTTTGCTACATACGTTCACTCATGTGGCATTTTGTTTCAAAGCTCATGTGGCAGTTTGTGTGAGAGGCAAGGGGAAATAGGATGACTTCCTGACACACTGCTGGGCACCTGACTGGACAGAACTTCATCTAGATTTCTGCACTTCAGCAAAGAGGAGCAACACTAGATGAAAGAGAATTTAAAAGCAGACTTTTGCGGGGGGGGTGGTGGGGTGGGGAATAAACCAAGCTTCAGGATGACTCAGCCATGGAGAGAATGCATTCTGGTGGAAACAGAAATAACTGTCCCCCAAATAAGTGTTGCAGACGTTGAGATGACTGGAGTTCAAATCCCATAAAACATCACTGAGTAGTTCTACAACCTTAAGGAAGTTACTTACTTAGTGTGGGGTCTACCATGGTCTGTCCTTGGCAGAAACATTGGGTCCAGGTCAAGATGACATGTTTTAAATGGACCATATCATACATAATCAGATCAACATTGTGGTCAGATTGACTGGTTATAATTTACTGGGATAGGTGGTCAAATATTCAAGGAAAACCAGGCTGGAGACTTTGTTTCATTTTGATGATTCCTTGACAGGAAAGTGGCAGCTGTGCCCATTGTTCTGCTAGATAAACTCTGCATGATTAGCTGGGTGAAGAGGGTGTATATATTAGACATCCGTTGGGGAGACAAAATGCAGGGCCTCAGGAACCCTTCCAGCTCCTTCAGGAAAACGGCCTCCTCAGGATGTGAACGGTCCCTGCCAAGATGGCGGTCCCTGGGAGTTCCCTTTGACTCACTCTGGGTTCCACATGAGACCAACAGAGCTCCTCACACATTTGAGCCAGGCTGTGTTGCTTCCTAACAACTTTCACCTCGTCACTGAAGACCACCTTGGAGGCTCATCTGTTCTAGTTGGCTGGGTCTAGTGTGGGGACTCAGGCCTGAAATCCTAGCTACCCCCAAGCTGAGGAGGGAGGTTCTATGGAGCCCAAGAGTTCCAGGTTAGCAAGGACAACATAGCAAGAGCCTGTGTAAAACCCAAACCACAACCAAACACACAGGACAGACAAGGAGAGTGCAGGCGAGTGCCCCAGAGCTGGAAACCCAAGACCTTTCCAGAAAGTATAGAAAATGCAGGGGCAGAGCATGAGACTAGAAGCCTGAAGACCGGATAGGATTCTGTTTGGAAGTTCAGGGAGGAGACGGTGGGCACGGGTGAGGGCAGGATAAGGACTGGAGTCAGGGGACAAATGGCGGCAATCTTTAAGAGAGGGCCCACGACTGGTGGGTGTGAAGCCTGCCCAAGGCCCTGGAAGTATTAGTATAGCTGTACAGCCTGCAGAGGGCCACACAGAGGAGCCTGCACTGCAAACAGAGACAATTCAAGTGGGAGAAGAGGGGAGAGAGAGAGAGACAGAGAGAGACAGAGACAAAGAGACAGAGAGACAGAGAGAGAGCGACCATGAAAAACAAGGCCGCATCCCAGTGCAGTTGTTTAAGAACCTAGATGGAGACAGCAGTTATGTCAGTGGATAATTCTATTTTTCATTTAATTGGGCTCGGCTTTGCTGAGGTTGAATTGTATTTTCTGCCATTGACAAGCAGAAGAGTCTGGCTGATGTGGACTGCAGTGGCAGAGGGGTGAACAGGTGATGTCACACACACAGAAGAGAGAGTGCCAGGAACAGGCGGTGGATGAATGGAGGAGGAGGCTGCAGGAAAGCGCTTGAGGGGCACAAGGAAGGGTAGACGCGTGGGTCAGAGAAACCCGGTGAGGACAGAGTTTCCCGCCGGGAGGCAGGCTCTGTGGATCTGGGCAGGGCAGGGACGCGAAGCTGGGGAGGGGAAGGGAGGTACAGATGAGTAAGTTGCGACACCTGCTGTACCCCTTCCTCGAGATGAGGAATTATCCTACATCAAAACATGCACTCACAAGATAATACACAGACTCAGGACAAAGGAGCAGTAGGGGTTGGTGACATGGAATGCATTTGCCAAATCAAAGTTACTGGGTCTCACCCCCAGCAGATCCGGGGCGAGGCCAGGAAGTTGAGCGTGTCGCGTGGTCTCGTGTGACACTGATGTCACATTTGAGAACCACTAATGGGAATATTTTGCATAAGGTGAGGTTGGAAAGAGTTTGAGTCAGAATGTGAAAAGAATCTCCGTGGCACGGAAACAAAGCAGATGCCAGAGGAAATGATTGGTGGCAGTGAGAATCGATGATTGTCTCACGTGACAGATTATCAAAGGCGAGAGGACTGTAAGTCAGCTAAGGGGATGACAAGGACGGCGCCTTTCTGTAGGATGGGAGGGCGCCGGCCTGCTGTCCCAGGACTGGGGGAAACACGCTGGGCACGGACCAGGGAAGACAAGCGGAGCCCGCAGGTGGAGGGACAATGACCAGGAGCAGCGACGGAGGTGGACGTGGGGAGGTTAACGGAGGGAGGAGCCCAGGCTTGAATTGGCCACTTTCTCCCTTAAAATTGAAAATTGACTCATGTGAGGGAGGAAGCAGAGGCGTGGGCGGTTAAGGAGAGAGGGGAGGTCAGGACCCACATGCACAGGCCACAGCGCAGCACCGGGGCACAGCTGCAGCGGGGACCCCTCCCCCAGCCAAGCCCGGCAGTCCGCTCTGGAAGCAAGAAGAAGGACCGTGGGATTTGTCCAGGGTAAGGGTGGCTTTCTCCCTTGTCTTTTCAAAAACAATAATACCTCCATTAGTGAGCGTTCTGGGAATAAAACTCTTTACTATGAAAACAGGCAGCCTGAAAAACAAAAACATGTCCATAAATCAGGCAAGCAGAATATTTCTAACCTTATGACAAAACTGTGTGGTATGCGGTTTCTTTTTGTCTTGGATTGGAGTCGAGTTTAGATCAACAGCAACATCCCCAGAGTGAAGACCCCTCTCGGGGGCTGGCATCTCCCTTCCTCTTCCTTCCCAGCCCGTAGGAAACCTGGCTGGGACCTGTTCATCGGGATTGTTACAGCTGAGGCTGGATCTCTCATTCATGTGTTGCTTTCGTCAAGATTATGGACTTTAGATGCTTTTGTTCCCACTGTGCTTTGGTGCTGGACTTTGCTTCCACGGAAGAAGTTTAGATGTTGGTGTGGTTGTGTATCTCTGTCCCCTGCAGGCTCCCATGCTGAAAGCTTGGTCCCCAGGGTAACTACTGAGAGGTGATGGACTCTTTAAGAGAGGGAAGTGACCGGAACTTGGAGGCCCCACATTTGCAAGGGGTTCACGCCCGGGTTGGGAGACTAGGTTAGGTCTCAAGGGGCTGGACCGGTCACTGGGAGAGCAGGTGGTCAAAACGAGTTGGGTTTTCTTGGCTTCCCACTTGCCTCCCCCCTCATACATGTTCTCACTGTGTGATGCCATCAGCTCCTGCCAGAAGCTCACAAGATGGGGGACATTCATTTTTGGACTTTCACTGTCTGAAGCTGTGAGCTACATAAACGTTGTTTCTCTATAAATCACCAATTCCCAGATATTTTGCAATTGCAACACAAATGGGTGAAGATGGGTGTTAAAGGTGCACAGAGTTCTGATAGTAGAGATATTTCACCGGATCCCCATGCTTGTATTGTGCCCAGAGACCAGGAAGACACTCAGGAAGTGTTTCTGGAATGAATGAATGACCAGAAGTGAACAATGGTGGTGGGCATGGGCTTGGGACAGGAATGGGAGGAGACACTGTTGTTTTCCTCAGATCTGGGGGTGAGTAGTTGTCTCAGCCCATTCTGTGCTACCATAACAGAATACTCTAGATTAAACACTTTACAGAGAACAGAAACTTATTTCCTACAGTTCTGGAAGCTGAGAAGTCCAAGCTCTAGTGGGATCTTTATTTATTTATTTATTTATTTATTTATTTATTTATTTTGCCTGTGTTGTCATAGGTTAAAAGGTGACAGGGAGAGCGAGAGAGAGCAAAAGGACTTCCACTACTTTTTTATAGAATTCGATGCATCCATCCATAAGGATGGAGCCCTCAGGACCTCAATACCTGCCATCAGCCCCACCTCCCAGTATGGTGGCACCGTGGATGGTTAGCGACTGAGAGATACGTTCAGATCACGGAAGCACTTTATTTGAGAGATGATCCCAAACAAGACTGGCAGGGAAATGGGTGAGAGAGAGAGGAAAGGGAAGGAAAGCGGCAGAGGGTGATTAACAAGAGGGTGCCACTGTGGTCAGCAGGGTTCAGTCCCGCTGGGACCTTTGAGAGACGCTACAGAGCTGTTCCCGCCAAAGGCATTTAATCATCAGGTCCTATTTGCCATTGGGCGAGGACTGCTCGTGGGTTCGAGCACTCGTCTATGTCTCTGGGGACCCTGAAGTTAGACACAGCACACACAGCGTGGGACATCTCTCAGGCAGGGTGACACAAGCTGGGTGTTTATCCGTGGATAAATGCTCTGTGTCTTTTGATACAGAAAGATCCCCAACATTAGGTTTGTAAGAAGCAAGATGCATGGTGGTTGAGTAGAATAGTATACTGCCTTTTTCATATTTTTATATGCACAGAATGTCACTAAAAAGATGCACAAGAAACTGGAAACAGTGACTCCTCTGACCTAGAAATTGGAATGGAAGAAAAGGCATGTTTTTACTGTAATATGCTGTAGTATCTGATTTTCTAAACAAGTTCATATGTAACCTATGTTAAATATACTGGAATTGTTGTATGTGTGTATACAGATTGTAGTTACGAAACAGAATAAGAACTTGTTTCTCCACCTCCATTCCCCACCTAGACCTTTGGGGATTGGATCCCAAAGGACCGTGGCAAGTTTTGGAGCTCTCCATTCCATGGATGTTGGGATATTCCCCTGCCAGCCCCTAGGGGAAGGGTCCTTTTCTGGAATTTTTCCTTATTGCAGTTTTCAAAGGTCTCCGCTTTCCTTTGGCCCAAAAACATAGTGTCTGATAAATGTCAAGACAAACACCAACGATCAATATATTCTGGCTCAAATCAGACTAGATTTTCTTGATAATATACTGCCAGCAGAAATGTTCTCATCCTAAAGGAAAGTCCCCTGGAGCACAACGGTCCCTCTGTGGAGGTGTCCAGAATATCTCAGCACTGGGCCAGGCACTGGCCAGTCCCAGAAGTGCCTGGCTGGCGTGTTTTCACTTTGAGGAACTGGGGCTCTCTCTACAGGGCTGGCGGAGGAGGAACTAACTCGCCCTTATGAAACTGGTGGACCCCTGTTTCTTTTGCTGCCTCAGCCTCTCCATGGAAGATGGGGTTAATCAGCTAAGTGTTTAATTTAATCAGCACAATCAGCTGCACTGAGCATAGAATGCCCAGACTGGATGGCATAATGTTTTGGCAAGAAGTAGGGTTGGAGATGCAGAATTCCTAATTCTCTCTGTTGGCACCACTGAATACTGATGACAGAGATGGTGATTTTCATCTAGATTAGTGTAATAGCAACTCCAAACACTCTCCCTATGTCCGGTCATGACACTCTTTAAACCATCGCCCAAAAGGTGGTCACTGTGACTTCTAAAAGGTGGAAGCAGCTCTGATGACCCATTTCTTGTATTCTGCTTTTCTACATGAAGTATTCTATTTTCTACATTCCAGTAACCAGAGTGCTCAAGGCCTTTCATGGTCTGTAACTCTGGCCAGTTTCCTACCCATGTGACTACCGTTTCCTACATGTCTGTAATTTCAGCAGTGTCTGCTGATCTCTTATATTACCAAGCTCAGCAGTGCTGGTTCTCTGTGTTTCCATGGTCCTGTGCAATCCCTCCCTAGTATGGTGCTCTTTCTACTGTATGGCACTGTTGTGCCTTCTTGTCTACACCTTTTATTTGATGGTGAGTTTTTCTAGTCTTTTGCCTTTCTACTCAAAGCACGCAGTACACATTCAATGAAAGTTGTTCACTTTCATGGAGTTTTATTGCACATTGGGTGGAGGGCACCCCGCTGCAGAATCTTTTATACCACTGCCGGAAAACAGGTACCAACATAGAGCAGGGAAAGAGCCACAAGGTTGGTCCTAGACCTTGCTAACTGTGATGTTAACAGAGGCCCTCAGTGTAGATGAAGTTCCCTCTTCCTTTTTCCCATCCAGCGCCACCTACTGTGTGCTTCTGTTCCACCACTTTGTGAACAAACATCTCCTTCCACTCGCAGGGCTGCTTTCATGGTTCAGAAGAGGGTTGCGGGCTGAGCCCCTGGAGGAGAGGCTGCAATGGAAGTTCCTGTGTGGGAATTTGGAGGCGTCCTCTCAGGACTGGCATCTGTGCAGGAAGTGAAAGAACCAGACTGGGAGAAGAGGGAAGTTGGGCTGTGGAGAAGGAGCCACAAGGCCTTAGCTGACCCCACAGAGAGCCTTGAAGCTGGTGAAGTCCTTCAGGGCTGGCCCGGGTTGGGGACAAGTGGCTGAGTGTTTATGTCCCTGCATCAACCAGACTTTGGGTGCACAGCACCCCCAAGAAGGGTCATGAGTCTGAGCTAGGTGGCTTCTTCCACCACAGGCGATTTCTCTAGGGGCCTGAGAACTGAGAGCTGTGGGTGGGCAGCAGTTGCAGGCATTGTAGGGACTTAGTCTTTTAGTCCTGAACAGGGATCTGGGCCCTGGGCCATTCTATGTCGTGTGTAGATACTGATTCTGGAGTCCAAACGCCTGTGTTCACCTGTGAGCTCCACCACTGGCTGAGGGTTCCAAAGTGATAAACCTGCCTCAACATGAGTGGCTGGAAAAATGTTTGTCATGTGTCAGGATTCAGTGGGGTCAGCTCATTTGGGTGCCACATTGTCAGCCATGATGGCTCCCGCAGGGGCGGAGGCCGCACTTCCGGTTCCCCGGCGAGGCCGGAAGTGCAACGCAGATTCCGCTCCGACAGGGCTTGGGTGGCCCCATGGAGTTTTGTTTCCAGATTCAGCAAATCTTGGCACATTTATATGCAACAGTTTGCTCTTTAGTTTGCTCTGGAGCTGTAGATAAGTAACTGGAGAAACTAGAAGAGAGAAAGTGAGGGAATTTAGGAAGAAAAAGTGGCCGTTTCTCTGGGCTAAGGAGCAGCTTCTGGCCTATGACCTCCATTGAGTTTTCCCTTCCCTGCTCTGCTGCCCTCAGCAGATGATTGGAAGATGGAGCAGAAATGCCAGCAGCAGCTCCAACCAGCCACGCCCAGAGAAACCGCTGGTAAATCATCCTTACACTCGGATTCACGGAAATATCAGTGTTTGGAAGAAGCATAACATTTACAACTTTATTTTATATGTGATGGTTTGGTTTCATTTTCAGGAGTCGTGATTTCCACATAGATCGCAGAGGTTTGATGAGTTGCCCATCAGTGGAGCGTAAGAATGGCAAGACAGTAGCTTTCATAAGAAATTTAAAAGCCTTGTTGTGGGTTAAGCAGTAGCTTTTGAAAAATTAGACTGTCTTTGGCTATGGAAAGAGATGTTCTCTTTCTTATTTTGCTCATTTAACCTGTTGCAAAACTAGCAATGTTTTCAACCTTGACAATGTCCTGGACTTTTAAAATTTTATTTTGAAAATAGTGTCAGGTGAGGCCCCAGACTCCCATGACAACACGTGTTGCCTCAGGGTGACTTTAGAGGTGACTGGAACAGAGATCTTCCCTGCTACCTCTGGAATCATCCTGGTAAGTGAGGATGCATGGGTCAGCCTCTCATTGCCTCAGCTTAGACAGAATTCAGCGATTCTTTCAAGAACCTCACAAAAATGACCTACTCACCGCATTCACAGTCAGCAGGCTCATCTCTTTCCTGTTTCCCCATGTCTCCCTCTTCTGGGAACGAATAAGATTCTTTCTTCTCGAGAAGGGGTTCTGTCCCCTCCCTGTAGCTACTGTGTCATTTCGTGTCCCTGAAGCCTTGACTTCTCTAAATAGGCTTGTCACAGCCTTCCTCAAAACACATATTGCTATCCTGAAGGGCATTGAGGGCAAGGCTGGGAAATAGTTTTTAGCTTCTCACGGTGTGTGTGTGTGTGTGTGCACCAGCTTGCTGCAGACGGACATGTTTTGCAAGGAGTCTTCTTGATCTTTGATAGTCTCTTCTCATTCATGTGAACCCCAATATACTGGCTACAGAGCACCATATAGAAAGCATGTGACTACCTCTGTCTCATTTAAGAAAATGGAGTGGGGAGAGGAGGATTTCCAGCCTAGCTTCCTGCCCTGATAGTCCTCAGTATTGTGCACTAGGTGGAGGGAACCCACTGCAGAATCTTTTACACACAGCCGGAAAACAGGTACCAATGCAGAGCCGGGAAATAGGGACCAGGCTGATGATCCCAGACCTTCCTAACTGGGCCGCAGCAGTGACCATGAGTGTCTCCGCCCTGTCCCCCGGGAGCTATCTACTAAATAGAGCTATCAGCTAATTGCTTAGAATCACAAAGATCATCCACATCTCTCCCACAGGGTTTGAAAATACTGTAAGTACTTTCAACAGGTTGCAGAAAACTTGGAAAATCCAAATGAAAAGTACAGAGGATGACAAAATTCACCAATAATTCCTCTCGGTGGACACTGCTACTATTAAACCGTTAGTATATTTGGTTTTAAAAATGCATAATGATGCTTTATCATTGGCTGCATTCACTCAGCAGCAGGTTAAAATTCTCCATTTCAGCATCATGAGGTTTTCATCTTAGCATGAGCTTTGCAGTGGCTTGATGATACTGCATGGCATGGATCGCCATGATGGACTGATTGATTTCATACCCTTCTGTCTGATGTTGGGGATCCCTTCCCTCTCCTTGGATTTTTAAATAAACAAACATAGAATGAATTACTTCCCTACCAGATATTTTGTTTTCTGACTACTTTCTTACCAGATACTCTTCATGGTAAATTTATAGGGTATAATTTATATGTATTTTGGGGTGTTATTTTGGTCAACTTGTCTTATAAAAAGTGTCCTCAATTTATACTTCCTCCAGCAGGATAGAAGAGTGTTTTGGTGACAATTAGGGGTGACCAGTGACCACACTGGCCAAATAACTCAGGAAGTGGAAAAGTCTGATTTGGCAGCCGGAGTCAGATCTTGCTCTTTGATATTGCTGTGTTTGTCATACATCTGAAAACAAAGCAGGAAAAGCAAACTCTGGCCTTTCGGGGTCAGGGTCATCCAGAAGGATCGAGGGAGCTGAAGAGCCATCAAGGATCTTAATGAGACTTCATATTATTCTTATACTCGACATCTAGTTTCCTGTATTAGAAATGGCACTTGTTCAGAGACCAACAGCCCTGGTTCCGTTCCTGAGTTCAGGTTGCTGAGAAGGAGCAGGACAGAGCCTGAGACAAAAGGCCCAGGGATGGCATTGTGGGTGTGCGGATACACCCAAACCATCAACATGCAAGACTCAGACAAGGGTAATGTTTTGTGAGCTCTCAGTCAAACAGAAAGCAAAGTGAGCACACGGAAAAGCAGTGAATTTTATATAAGAAGACCTCAGGTTGTCCCTGGCATTGGAAAGCAGTTGGTGTGGAGTGATTCATTAGCTTCTCTGGGTCTGAGTCTCCCTTTAACAGAGAGGTCGAGCAGGACAGCTGGCCATAAATTCACACTGATGCATAAGGCTGCTGTCAGTGTTGAAATTCTGTCAGGCTTGTGGTGACATCACCTGGGGCCACCTTAATATTAGTAAAGTGGGACAATCCAGCTGGGGGACTCCTGGAGGAGACACCAGGAAGTGCTCCCCCGGAAGCTGCCCTGGTCAAACTCTGGACCACGGTCTGGTTAGACCTTCAGGTCTACCTGGTGCCTGTGGGAAGTGATGGGGATGGAGGTGCGTGTCGAGTGCCTCACAGGGCAAAGACTGCAACCCACAATTCTAAGTGTGTGCAATTCTACAGGACAGACCGCCTGGGAGTCTCTAACAGGCAGATGCACCTGGTGCATTGAGAAATATCCAGCTAAAACTAGGAGTGGCCATTGTTTGGACCTTCACTTCAACAAACTAGTTTTGAGGCATCCAAAGGGAAATGAAGCCAAACTTGGAGAATTTTAAGAAATTATCATTAATTTGTGGTCTTGCTATAGAAAAATGTCCTTAGGCATTGCCTGCTACAGTGTGTATGCACCTGATGACAGTACGCTAAGTAAAGATGTCACCCACAGCAGGGCAGACACTAAGTATGTGATTCCTCCCATATAGGTCTCTCGGATGCCGGACGTGGTGGTGCATGCCTGTGTCCCAGAACTAGGGAGCTGAGGAAGGAGGATCACTTTGAATCAAAGGCCAGCCTGGTCTACATGGTGAGTTCAAGGCTAGCCTGAACTACATAGCGAGACCCTGTCCCTATCCTCCTTCCAAAAGAACCTTCATAAACAGAAAGCAGAATGGTGCTTTACAGCCAGCAGTGGAGGCCTAGTAGGAAGTTAGTGCTCACTAGTTTCAGAATTTCAGCTTGGGAAGACCAAGGAAGGTCTAGGGTGGATGGTGGCGATGATTGCCTAACAGCACGAAATACTTAATGCTCCTGAACTGTACACATAAAAATCGTGGAAATGCTCACATATATGTTATGCTGATCACAATTTTACAAAGCCCTCAGGTATTAGGAACATCTACAAGTGGATAATGTGACCCCAAGATTTGCTTTCAAATAACCTAATAAGAGCAAAAGATGGGATGCTGGAGAGGAAGAAGACGAGGAAAGTGTGGGTAACTCTTGGAGCTGGGTGGTGGAGCCTGGGGCTAATCATCGTGCTCCCGTGCCTACGATACCCCAAACCGTCTGTCCCAGGGAGTTTAAAATAGATCGTGTTCTGATCAAGTTAAATTTTCTGAGATGCTCTGTGCATTTATGCTCAGTTTTGAAGACTCAGTGGAAAACAAACCAAAACCGAATCCTGCATCACCCTAGTGACACGAACTGTCACCGCGTGAAATTGAGCATAAAATGAGCCCCAGCCAGGAGGAGGCCACAGAGACCGCCTTAGCTCGAGCCACACTCATACATTATGCATATGTTCCTGGGGGGTCCTTGCCCTGCCCCTGTCGGGGTGCGCATCGGTGGTCCTCAGGTTGCTGCCACCTTCCAGCTCACTGGGCGCATCTGCAACACCAGGGCTCAGGTTATTCCCCAGGCCAGGGAGCAGGGTTTCTCAGCGGTTCCCAGGCAACTGTACTGTGCAGTCATGGGAAGACTACCTGTGTAGGAGCTGCTGGATACACAGTAGGCACTCATCAGACGGTGATGGAAAAGGGGTCTGGTCTGAGTTACTGATTATGCTGTGTTTTAGCCATTTGGTAAAGCCTTTTGCAGAAAAGAGTTTCTATGCTGCCCTTTCTCAGCCAAGGGAAGGACCTCCGGAGGCCCTAAACTTATTTGTTGGGTCCCAGCTAGAGCACGCGGCTTACGCTCCAGGCAGCAGCACAGTCGGTTGCTGTACCAGGAGCCTGGAGAGAGAAGGGCAGTTTCCGAAATGCTTTGGGGGCATCACGAAAACCTCACTGTAACACAACGCTTTTTGGAATAGCATTAAAGAAAAGCAATTGAAGCCCATTTATCCAAGGAGAAATGAAAGCCCCTGGGATGCGAGTTTTGTTTTGAAGCCGAAGAAGAAGCCTTTCATCATATCGACCAGAAAAGATACGATCGGTCTGAACCCGGAAGGATACACAGCCATTCGAGATCTCCACACGTGACTTCTGCTGTTCAGCTCTGGGCTCCACCTCTGGTGCCTTAACAGGCAGATTTTCACCGCCCTCCCTGAGAAGCCCAGTGCTCACCGATTTAGGTAACTGAATGCATGGAGTGAAAGCTCCACACAGGGGTCCTCCTCACCTCTGTGGCTTGGTATCTAGTGAGAGCACTCACTTGATTTTCACTGAGTCTTCAAAACTGAGCATAAATGCACTTTGGCTTCCAACGGACTGACAAGAAGCACCCCAAATAACTCTTCCCAGTGGCGATAGAATAAATGATCCCAAAACCTTGGTGTAGGGAGGCATTTTTCCCTCCAATCAGAGTGAATCGTAGAGGAATAGAGTCGCCATATTTGGCAAATAAAAAAATATTTGGTGAAATTGGAATTTTGGACAAATATTTGGAAATATTGCTGGAGACATCATTATATCATAGAGGTTTAATTTTTCTTGGAAATGTTGGTTAAGCTGGGCATCCTGTGTTTTATCTGGAAATGCTAAAAAGAGACATCCTTCCTCTCAGATGTGCAGAGGCTGAGTATTTTATTTCAATATGTTCAGAGATTCTGGGAAGTGCACATGGTCAGTGAATGTCCAGGAATATGGACCGGGGTGGGGTGGGGTGCTTTTGGTGAAGAGTATAAGAGGTCAGTGTGTTAGTTTGCAGTTGCTGTGTAACAAGTCACCCCAAGCTCTGTAGCTACAGGAAGTAGTCCTTTATGGCACACACTCATTGTGCAGTGGGCAGCTCCATCTCCAGTTGTGCCTCTCTGATTTGGACAGGGCAGTTCACCAGGGGGATACAGCTCACGCTCCTCTCCCTCCTGAGAGCAGACGGGTAATCGATGTGCAGTCTTATGAGGACAACACATGCTCAAAAGGCCAAGTGGACACATGCAAGGTGTGACTAGCATGCTGTCATTTCCACCCCTGCACCCTTGGCCAAGGTCAGACACAAATTAAAAGGGTACGAAAGCATATTTGTCCCCGGCAGGAGCAGGAATGCTGGGAGAGAGAAATGGGGCTGAGGTCCCACAGGGAGACTGAGGGCCAGGAGGAGGACATCCAACCCCGGGAACCTTCAGAGCCAGGCATAGGGGAAGAGGACAGAGCAGGTCAGTGACCAGGTGGCGGGATTACCAGGTCAGGGGGCCTTAGGTGGAAGAGTTATGTGATTCTTCATTTCTGCCCTCGACTCCAGGGTTTGCGTGCTTGCCTGGAAAGGTTTGCATGGCTTGACGTGAGCAGGCGGGAGTTTGATGGTCTGCAGTTCTCAGTGTCACCCCGCAGTCGCTCCTCGACTTCTCTGCCATCTTTAATGGCTCCTGTGCTTCAACAGGTGAGACACGAAGCCCACCGTACAAGACAATGCTTGGTGCTCATGACTGTGGGACCCAGGACTGTTCTCATTCCCGGAGGAGAAAGTGGATGAAGAAAATAGGAAATTAGTAGCACCGAGCCTACGATGCGAGGGCAGGCCGAATCCCAGGCTCACATGGTGTCCTGGGGAGTCTATTCCGCCGCTCCTGGGCTGCCTTCTCTCGCGTCCTGCTCCTTTACCAGACTCCAGGTTGGCTGCTGAAAGCTCCAGATTCATACCTGACAACTCAGGCAGTGAAACACACTTCTTCTTCTGTAGCCAAGTGAAAACCCTGAGAACGGAATGCTGAGCCCACACAGGGAAGATGTCCATGCGCGAGTCACCAACACCAGGACGCTGACCCACCCGCCCTGGGCGTGAAACCTGACTGTCCCCTAGACCCCTGGGCTGGGAGCCAGGGAGGGATGGGGAAGTCGGGAAACCACGGTGAAAGAGGGGACAAGGCGCCTCTGCCTTGCCTCGTTTCCTTCCACTGAGGCTGCGGGGGCGCCTTCCTCTCCCTTGAGCATCCAAGGGTCATCATCTCTGTGGAGCACAAGGTGCCACCCACATGGCTACTCTCTCACGAACACTCCCTACCTTATTTTGGATGGAGGCCACCACCCCTCATCGTGCGGATCTCTTTAATTCTCTTTTTTAGTGTCTATTTTCTTTGTGTACTTCTGTGGTGTAATTTACTTGCCTATTGTGTGTATTGTTATTTTGTGACCAAAACATTTTCCCTCCCTCTCGAATCTTCATGAAGCCCACCAGAAAGGCACTGTTGACCCACACAAGGTTCCCTGGCATCAGAAAGTGATCGGCTAGTGTTGTGCACTAGATTGAGCTCAGGCTAAGAGGCCAGCTGCGGTGTAGCTGGGTACACCAGATGTCTTATCTGGTAGACCACTGAAAGAGAGGTTCAGTCTTTGTATTTTACAGCTCATTTTAGAAGGAGAGACCTTAGTCACCTAGGCTAACATCAGGGTGCACGATGGGCCTATGTGTGGACAGCTCTGGCTTTGCATTTGGGGTTCTCTTTCCATTTACCTGAGCCAGTGTCTGGCTTCTCTCTGGGACCCGAACAGGATTGAGTTGATCCAGGGGAGCTCTGGAGCCCAAAGCCCACTTTCCATTTGGTTTCATGAGGAATAAATGTTTGCTCCTCGCTCTGCTGGGGCTGAAGCAGTTGGCATGTGCTGTGGTGAGGTGCAAAGTGGGCTCGGTCAGCAGTGGGTGGGATGACCCAGAGCCTCCTGGAAGGAAGCTGCCGGCATTTGGAAGAACTCATGCCCGGAAGCACTGCCCAGGGTTAGTCCTTCGGTGCTTTTGAGAGGGCTTCACTCTAACTCAACAGTGGATAAGCTAAGTGGTGCAGGGCGAAAGCAGAATGGAGGAGGTGACCCTGAATTAACACCAAGGCTGTCTTGCCCCGGAGAGCTCCAGGACACAGATCCTTGGGAATGTCTGTCCTTGCCAGTGACCTCGAGTGTTTATCTAGCTGTCCGCTGAAGGTTCACCCTGACATTTCAGCAGCGAGGCAGAGCTTAGGGATTTACGGTGTTGGTTTGGGCAAGAGAAAGGGGCCCCTCCCTGGGGCTCAGCAAGAAACACAGTGCAGGAAACCCCCGTTGTCTCACACCACGCAACGTGGGGGCTGAGCTCCCCACCCCGTGAGTGTCCCCAAGGTGACCACGTGGAGGTCAGCCACAGGCAGCCCCTTGTGCCCTGACAAGGAGCTCAGGGAGGTAGGAAGGAGGCAGGAACCAGGCAGAGGATGCTTCCTGTGCAGAGATCTCTGCCTCGACAGAGAGGGCGGTAGGAAAGGGTGGTTTAAGGGAGAAAATGCTTCTCTGTGCATTCAAAGAGAATTTTAAAAACCGTTTAGTAATGAGGAAGTATCTGTGCAGAGCCGGGAGGGACAGATAGGAAGAGATGCCCGGGGGGAGGAGATCTCTGCTTTCCAATTGACCACACTCTACACTGTTTGCTTAAATTATCTTTCATATCTATTGTTTTTTAATGGAAACATTTACAAAAGGCTGCTTTAATTAAAACAAAACAAGTCACAGGCCTCCTTCCTCCACCTTTATTCTCTGTGATCCAGGAAACAGGAATTCATTTACCAGCTGTGTGGACTTTGGCAAATCTCTTAACCTCCTCTGGCCTATTACCTCAGCTGGGAAGCAGGGTTTATAGCAGCGCCTGCTTCAAAGCGTGCCCGGGAGGACTGAGTGTGTAGGGAGTGTAAGTGTTAAGCTCTGGTTATCACATGCACTCCTACATCCTGGCATCGCTGGTATTGTTCAAACACTGTTTCAACACAGACCTCAGTGACGTGCCACTTCGTCCCCAAAACAGTGCCTAGCGGTCACGTAGGTGCCAGCAGCAGCTGTCTCGGGGGTGTGCTCCGTGCTGTCATGGCTGGGGCTGTGAAGGACGAGGACACACGGTGGCTAGCTGGTTCCCAAAGGTCCAGAGCGTCGGGAGGGAAAAGGAGCAGCTGTTTGGAACTGGAATCAGAGGCCATGGCAGAAGGCAAGGTTGATGGGGTAACACACACACCTGTCACCATCTCAGTAAAGCAAATTACCCTCCATCGAGTCCTAAATGTGTCCAGGAGAGATCTGAAAAGCACAGAAAATGTAGAGTTGCCCAAGCAGGAAACCAGGAAAGGAGTCTTTAATTTGGCTGAAATGTAGTCTGTCTACTCTTTCCTCTCCTTCCGGCATCTTTAAGGTTTATTCCCCTTTCTTCTGAAGCTACCAGGGCCGGAAGGATCTTTGCTGTATCTTAAATCACAAACGCACTGGACAGGATGCCCTACTTTATCATGTATTTCCAGCCAGTGGAATCAAGGGTGGGGAGAGAATCTTCCCTCCAACTCCATGATGAGATTTCTGTCTTCACAGTCCAGCTGAGCCAGTTTAGCATGCGTGCTCACCCCTAGGCCACTAGTAGTGGTCAGGTAGACACCTTGTGCTGCTGGCCTAACCTGGTGTTATTAAGGGAGGAGGGCTCATTAGCTTCGACCTGGGCTTTTTCAGCCTGGACAGTATTGGCGTCTGAGGAGTAAGAAGCTCTTCATGGGGCTGTCCTGTGAATTCCAGAATGTTTGTCATCCTTCTTTATCTCTACCCATGCAGTGTCAAGAGCAAGGGGCCATGTAGAAAGGGAAAGGCTGGGAGGAAGACGCCCTGGGTGGGTGTAGCAGTCCGGTTTCTGTCACTACAATGAAATACTTGAGGCGGGCTAATGGTATGAGAAAAAAAAAAAAAAAAAAAAAAGAGGCTGACTTAGCTCAAGGCTCTAGAAGTTCCAGGACGTGGCACCAGTGTGAGCACCGATCTTGTGCGAGCCCTGTTGGGTGTGTCACACACAGCAGGTCACAGCATGGTGGGAGTAGATGTGGGAGAGACAGATCACACTGCCAAACAGGAAGCCGGGAAGGCCTGGGGCCCACAATCCCTGCTGAAGACCCCACTCAATCTACATGAGGACCTCCCCCTTGGCCCTCCCTTTTCACAGCCTGGGCCCCCACTTTTACAGCGGGGAACAGGCCTCTGGCACGTGAACCTTTGAGGGATGCACTGAAACAAACCTCTAAACGCTGAGCATAGAGTGTGATCTTGTAGGCATGGTAGGGATTTCATTTCTTACCCCCAAACACCAGTGAACTACCAAAGGGTTTGGAGTCAAGATTAATGGAAACTGGGGCACGGAGAAGGAACGGAAGGGACGAAGCAGACCAGGTATTAGGGAAAGACAGTGAAAACTAAGCGCAGTTTCAGCTAGGTGCTGGAGGGAGGATTGGGTTTATTTCAGCTCGATAAGGAGCTGGACCAGGTAGCCTCTGGTGCTGGTGTCGGTGTGGTGAGGAGAGGAGGAAGAGGCCACCAAAGGTGCCGCAGGGGCTTCTAGCTTTCTTACTGCAGGAGCCCTGGAGAAGGATCCAGGTGAACAGGAAGATTACCTTCTGATATGCGAGTCCGAGGTGGTGTGAGACACCCAGGCAGCAAGGGAAGGGACCGTGGGAGGTGCAAGCCCAGTGCTCAGGGAGCACGCGGGGTTGGGACAGTGCCGCCTTTGGAACCATGAGCACCATGAGAACTCATCCGAGGGCTCCGGACACTCAACAGTGAGACACAGAACCACATCCTTGCAGGGAGCTGCCGGGGGGGGGGGGGGGCCTCCCCCTGAGGGGCGCATTCCTTAACAGCTCCAAGGCTGGAGCATTCTGAGAGGGGGCTTGATCAGCTGTTGGGAGGAGATGGAAGGTAAGAACCAAAAGATTTCCCTGGACTTAGTCACAGGGAGCCTGTGGTCAGCCCCAGCTAGAACTACTTTGGAAGTAATGGGTGCTGGGCAAACACAGGCTGAAAAAGGACTGATGCACGGAGAAGGCACACAAAGGTGATTCCTCCTGGGGAGACAGAAGGACAGAAGGGCGGAGAGAGACAGAAGGAGACACGAGCATGCATGAGCAGGGTTTCTCTCCTAGTGGACATACTTGACCACGTTTGAAGTGTTATGGCGGGGGGCAGAAGGATGAGGGTGGTGGCTTAAAAATCCAGGAGAGAGAAGCAGAAAGGGAGCGGGCAGGGTCCCTACGGAGGCAGGAGGGGGGCACCTCTGAGCCTGAGAGGGCAAAGGCGGGGATCCGGGATCCGCTGCTGTGGGCAGGGTGGGGGAGGAGAGCAGGGACACCACTGCGAGTGGTTTGTGACAAGCAGTGGACAGCATTCCTGCGTGAACTTTCTACAGCGCCTGAGCAGGAGAGGCTCACTGCTTACAGGAAGGGTGAGTCAGATGTGTTTGGGAGCCACACTAAAGCAAGTGGTTGCCACCTTCCCCAGAGTTTTCAGAGCCTTTAGTGTTCAAATATTTGCAGTACATGGCCAAGAGGGGGGCAGAGGAAACCACTTCCCATGGTCCCGCAAGTTCCATGCAAGTTCAGCCTCTCAAGGGAGCAGGGTTTCACACCACACCTCTGGGCCACACCAAGCCAGGCCAGCACTGCGTTTTATCGTGGGACAATATGGCGCCCCCACAGAGAGTGGCTTTGCTGGCTGAGGAGTCCCACAGGGTGCGGCTGTAAGAGGCAAGCTGGTGTCCCCAGGCCTTCCCTTCCCTTCCCTTCCCTTCCGTGAGCACACTTCTGTCACTGCTGTTTCAAGCCCATGGCTGGGGCAATCTGGTTCTACTTTGAGAGGTGGAATTAGACAGAGACATCCACCAGACCCTGTGTGTGATGTCCAAGAGTCCCAAGGTGTGTCAAGAATTGTTCTGCTCTGAGTTCAGCCCACAGGCTGTTCTTGAATGGGTCCTTAATTTATCTCTGCCTCAGTTGCCTTATTTGTACCAAAGGGAATAATCATGATGTCCTTTCTGCAAAGAGCTGTGATAGTCAAGTAGATAACACTTTCTAAGGGCCTAGAAAGATGGGATCCAACTCAGCAGGAAGAAACTGTTAGCGCTTACAGGTTGAGTATTGCTTATCTGAAGTGCTTGGGACCAGAAGTGTTCTGCAGTTTAGAAGGTTCTTTGATCCATGAACTTAATTTGTTCTGTGACTCTGGAGAAGATGGCTCTGGTTGTGTTCATCACTCAGTACAGAGTTTGCCAGCGGAAGGGAAATTTTGCCAGATGGTTGTGTTTGCAAACCGAATTGTTCAAAAACAGAAGCGTTTGTGAACTGAGGCGTTACTTGATCTGTGTGTACTCAGATATTTTGAGAACCAGAGCCAAGCCGAAACACAAAGTCCCCTTTGGTTTCGCACACATCCTTACAGACTTAGCCTGAGGGAAATTTTATTTAATATTTTTATAGTGTAATTTGTTACACGAGGTCAGGTGTGGAATTCCCACCTGTGGCTCAGGAAGCTTTGCATTTTAGAACATTTTGGATTTTCAGATTTCGATCTGGACTAAGCATAGAAGGGCCTCTGTGTCCCAGCTCATACACAGGGCAGCAGGAAAAGCTGCTCTGGACTAGGAGAGTGAAATGACACAAGTGTCAAGTGAGGGACAGAATGAGGAATAATCTTCCCAGAGGCTGGGCCTGCCTTGGGAATCAGGGTGGCACCCCAATCTTTACCGAGAAGCAATCCCCCCATTAGTCTTAACTAGCTCAGTAACTTACAGCACCTAGACACGATGGCCTCCCTGGTGAGTCAGGATTCACACCCAAGCCCTTTGGTTTTCGTGCCAGGATGCTGGTTATTACCACACACACAGTTTGCCCAGGACCTAGATGCACCTCACTGAGAAAAACCTCCCCTCAGCCAGGAAGCAGACCCCACTGCCAGCAGCAGATGGAGTTTGAGGATCCAGGCGGTGTTTCTCCTTTCGGGAGAGGCAGATGGTTCAGCCTCCAGCTCCGCACCAGCGTCTGACCGAAGCTGTGCAAGGTATTTCAGAGATCCACAGCACAGGGGACCCTGAAAACATCTCAGCAGCTGCTCTGCGGTGCTCAGCTCAGTGGCTGGTGTTGGACACCATGAATAATCTTAGCCTGCTGCCGCCATGAACATGCGCAACTTCTGAGTTTTCTTCTTCTTTCTTAGAATGCCTGAATCTTCGCCACCCGCTGTGGGCTGGAGAATCTTCAACAAGCACACCTGGATGATCCTGAGGGAGGAAAATACAGTACTGATCCTGGAAAGAACTCAGTACTCCAATCTGGGTTTTCTGGAAAGCACACCAGATGGAGGGATGGGTGGAGGGGGGTCTCTAAAGACAATTTTGAATGTCAAAGGCATATGGGGACCAGTTTTTTTGACTTGGACTTCTGAGTCCAGATAGAATAAAGGGGAAAACTTTTCACCTGAGACCCTTACACAGCTCAGATGAGCTCAGTGAAAATGAAGAGAGTTTGTAAGCCTTAACCAGCGGCAGTAAGTAGTTTGCATTAAAATCTTAGTCTCTGTGATGGATCTCAGTGGCTCAGAACCTGACACCTAAATTCTGAGCCCGCCGGGCTGCCCAGGGACATCTTTGCTGTTTCTCTTGACCCAGCTCTGAGCTCAGCCTGTGGCAGCAGGCTTGATTTCTGTTGATAAGGACCC